TGCTTTGTGCCGGAGTTGGAATATCCGCAGTAATTTCATTAGTTATACTATCGAAAACGAGCATTCCTCGCAATTAATTTAGTAGGCGTCGCGCACTAAAATCCCCGGCGATTATTACGTTTCGAGCATCCGAGGAAACAATAAAATCTCTCTCTCTCTCTCTCTCACACGTACATTTTTCCCTTCTTTTTCTTTGCAGAATATAATGGAGACATAACAATGTGTGCGAAGATCGCGCGAATGCCAGGACACTCTTCTCCCTCCCACAAATAATAAACCGTTCTCTGGGTTGTAATGGGCTTTTCGGGGGAGGGGATTGCAGAGGGAAAGGGGGAGAGCCAGATTAAGGACTCTCTTTCTTCCCTTATCACCAGACTGCACACACACTCACTCACATACATATACTAACAGGTTCTTTTCTTCCCCTCCCGCCCCCAAAAATAAAGCTAAAGGAAATAAGAAACCCGGCCAGACGTGAGGGATCAATGTCTTTACTACCCCCCTAAAGAAAATATTAAGAAAAAAGTGGATAGAGAAAATAAACTTTTCCTTTTTATATAATTTAAATTGCTCCTGGCTGCTCAAATGTATATAAATTTCGTTCATCCACAGAATTGACTTTCGTCCTTCTCTTTCGTCCAGGTACACCGGTTCACGTACAAACAAATGCTTAGGTCTGAAACGCGCGTCGCCATGGTAACTACATCCGAGCCGGATTGGAAGGAGGCGGCGGCGACCGACAGGACCGTACTTAACGTTCTTTGTTTCTCCGTAATTAAAGCGATACAGACAAAAGCAATAATTTAATGTTTTACCAAGTTTTTATTCTTATTTATATTGACTTAAAACTTGTTTAACACGTTGACATTATTTATGTATAATATTTTAGTTGCTATGCACGCCATTGTTTTTACAATAACCTCAAATATCTTACGTCAATTACGAACTTTAAACGTCAATACATTTCTTACACATTTTTTTCAATTATTCTTGAAGCAATTTGGAATAAAACGTGATATTGTGACATAATTTACGCATACTTTGTAATTGACGTTTCACTGAGTTCATAGGCGTCTATTTTCTTGCAGCAGAAAAACCGATTTGCGCTGTATTAAGTAATAAATTAATAGTTACTTATTTTTTTTATAATTATTCATTAATTTAATTACTTTTATTGTTTGATTTAAAAAAAAACAACATTTTTATGGTCAAATTTTGTTGCTCAACTTTGACAGTTTATTAGTAGAAAATAGTAAATATTACTAATCTTATAGTTGATTTATTAGAAAGACTATAGTTTTGTCTTTAATTTGAATATTTAAGATTGTAATTAGATTGAGAGGTTGTTGAGTTGTTAATTAAAAAGTGAAGACGCTTTTACTTTACAAATTTAACAATTTATATGAGAATTAGTACAAAGCTATTAGAAGGCTTGTTGGAAATGGATAAAATTGTATCATAAATTTCCATTCCTCAAATTTCAGAGCTTATAACACAAGAAATACATATAGCACAAACATAATTCTATGATTATTGGAAAGACAATAATGTTATCTTTAATGTACATATTCAATGATTTAAATAGCATTTGCGGTTGTTGACTAATTAATTAAAATGTGAAGATGCAAATCAATGTTATATTTCAGACTATTTATGGTTGATATGTAAAACAATTGTTAGTTGGAAACGATGTCATTGTTTTTATGAAAGAATGACAGGTAATGACAGTTGACAAGATTGACAGTTTTTATTGTTGGTTGGAGATGATGCCATTGTCTTTATTAGAAAAGATTGACAGTTTTTATTGTTGTTTGGAAATGATGCCATTGTCTTTATTAGAAAATGACAGGTAATGACAGTTGACAAGATTGACAGTTGTTTAGGTTGCTACGAACGCCATCATTGATCGTTGTTGACTAATTAAGTAAATTGTGAAGATGTAAATCAATATTATATTTAAGAATACTTATGGTTGCTATGTAAAACAATTGTTAGTTGGAAACGATGCTATTGTCTTTATGAAAGAATGATAGGTAATGACAGTTGACAAGATTGACAGTTTTTATTGTGGATTAGAAATAATGCCATTGTCTTTATTAGAGAATGACAGGTAATGACAGTTGACAAGATTGACAGTTGTTTAGGTTGCTAAGAACGCCATTCCTGATCGTTGTTGACTAATTAATTAAAATGTGAAGATGTAAATCAATATTATATTTAAGAATACTTATGGTTGCTATGTAAAACAATTGTTAGTTGGAAACGATGCTATTGTCTTTATGAAAGAATGACAGGTAATGACAGTTGACAAGATTGACAGTTTTTATTGTTGGTTAGAAATGATGCCATTGTCTTTATGAAAGAATGACAGGTAATGACAGTTGACTAGATTGACAGTTGTTTAGGTTGCTAAGAACGTCATCTCTGATCATTGTTGACCAATTAAGTAAAATGTGAAGATGTAAATCAATGTTATATTTCAGACTATTTAAGGTTGCTATGTAAAACAATTGTTAGTTGGAAACGATGCCGTTGTCTTTATTAGAGAATGACAGGTAATGACAGTTGACAAGATTGACAGTTTTTATTGTTGGTTGGAAATGATGCCATTGTCTTTATTAGACAATGACAGGCAATGACAGTTGACAAGATTGACAGTTGTTTAGGTTGCTATGAACGCCATCCCTGATCGTTGTTGACTAATTAATTAAA